CACACCAGTGCAGGCGTGGTGCCCATAGTTCACAGGCGTGTCCAGTTTCACCTGCCACCTCCGGTGTCGCCACCCCCAGGTGTCCTCAGTACACAGTTGGGGACTACCCCTGAGCTCTGAGCTCTGCGTGCCCCGGCTCCTCACAGCTCAGCCCTTTTGGGTCAATGATGGAACAGATCTCCTGCAAGTCCATTCCTTTTAGGGAAATGAGGGGAAAGGGGCTGTCACTTAGTAATTAAAAACAGCCCCGCAGTGATGGGTGGGACCCAGGGCTTCTTCCCTCCCTGCAGCTCTGAGACCAGACTCTCCTGCCGATACCGCCAGATCTGCTCCATCCCCAGGACCCAGCAACTGGGCTTTCTGGGGAGTGGGGAACGGAGCAGACAGGCCCCCCGCAGGAGGCTCTAAACAGCACCCCAGCTCTGGGGCAGGGCTGTGCCTGTCCAGGGTGAGGACACGACCTGGCCACTGTGACTCAGGCCAGGGTGACAGAAGCCTAGGTTGGGAATTGCTCCCAGCAGATGGATTTGGGGAATGGGTTGAGGGTAGGCAGGGAGGGAGGTGCGGGTGCGAGGTGCAGAACAGGGGCAGATCTGCACAAGGCCCTGGGCCATTTTGCCACCCACAGGATGGCCCTTGGGGACCTGCCAGGCCTGCCCGCTGCCAGATTCTAGTGTGCACGTGAGCAGCTGTCCCCTGGACGCCCGTCTCCATGGAGACCAGTTCTCGGGCTCCGTTTCCTGCCCATTTGCTTTGGCTCCCTGTGGGGAGCAAGGGAGCGTCTGTTAAGATTCAGCTGCACAGAGAAGAGATGCGGCGACTCCGCCCAGCCTCCAGCCACCCGCCTCCCGCAGCCCTGGCAGGACCCCAGCCCACGCCCTGCCACCCTTCCTCCCTCTCCCTGCAGGCCAGCGAGACCTCGTGCCAGAGCCTGGGCTCCAGCCCTCCCATTCACGTGCTGCTGAATCATTTGAAAAAAATGCAGTGCTCCTGGGACAGAACAGTGGGGCTTTGTGGAGGAGCTGAGGCTCTGCAGTCCTCCGCCAGGACCCTGAGCACCAGCCAAGCCCAGCCGTGCGAACCCCACGCCCCGAGCCCAAGCGGGCAGAGGAGAGAGAGCTTGGAGAGGCGCCCAGGGAAGCCCCCGCCCCCCGCAGTCCCTCCCTGACGGCAGGCGAGGAAGGGACGGGCAGCAGCTCGGCCCTGGGCGGTCACCATTCCTCATCAGCTGACTCCTTTCAGGAGCAAACCCACGAGGGCTGGACCCTTGGACTCTTTTTCAGGCCTGGTCTACGCTGACCGTCTGAGAGCCCTGGCCTGTGCCTGGGGCCCTGAGGCATGTGGCCCGTGGGCAGGGCCCACACCCCCAGGCGGCCGTGAGGGAGGGTGGACTCTGTCCCAGCTCCCGACCACTCCTTTTCAGTGCAGCCCTCCCTGAGCAGGTGGAGAAAGGGGGTACAGTACACACAGCCCTGTCTCCTTCCTGGGAAGGCGCGGGGCTGTTCCAGGAGCCGTTCATCCACCCCCCCCCCACCCCGTGTTCTTCAGGGGACCAGCTGGAGGCCCCTCAACACCTGCGTCTTTTTAGAGGTCTTGACCTGATCTCTGTTGCCATTTTCCGCTCATTAGAGGAACTACTGCAGGTCCGAGAGGCCCCTGCCCCACCTCCAACGTTAAAAACCCAACTTTCCCATCTTCTTACACGTGTCAGGTCCTGGGTGCCAGCGTAGGCTCACTGGCTGCAGGCGGCTGGTGGGGAAGGAGAGGTGAGGAGGGAGGACCTACCCTGACCCTCAGAGCAGCCCACATGGGGTGGGGCCATGTTCAAAGCCAGGGGGCCCCAGATCTCTCTCCTGGCTTCTGTCCCTGCATCGAACCTGCCCTCAACCCGCGGACGGATAACTCGGCGGGCACACAGCTATGCTGCTGCTCCTCCGCAAACCTCTTGGGCAGGCAGGGAGCCCCGTCCACCACCAGGTCAGCTGTGAAGGCCTTTCTGAGTCACTGTGGTCTGGGGAGAAGGACCCACAGGGTGGGATGCAGGGAAGTGAGCAGAGAGCTGTCCGGGTAATGCAGAGCGTCAAGGAGGGGGGGACAGGGACGCCGTTCCCAGGGGCGGGCATGTGAGCACCACCCAGCAGAGAACTCTGGAACACGGAGAGGCCCAGGGGTGCTTCAGGAGCAGCAGAGCTCATGTCCGGGTCTCCCCGCCACCCAGCTGCACTCTGTGGACACCTTCTGGGGGCCCGGCCTTCCAGAGCACTGCCCCATGTCACAGCCAAACAGAAGCTAGGGAGGCCAGGCAAGTGGCAGGGGCCACGTGAACCCAGTCTGGATCCCCAGCTCCAGGCTGCCATGAGGCCGTCAGCGGGGACCATCACTTTGGGGAAGACTTAGAGGCACCAGAGAGGCACGAGCAAGAGTCAGGAAGTGTCCTCCTCCCTGCAGCTATGTCAGAAGGAGCGGTGGAGAGAGGGGTGGCGAGAGCCTGGGCCCAGGGGTGCCGTCAAGGCTTGGGAGGAAGCAGAGACACCCACACCCTGCAGAGTCACCAAGCAATTGTCGGGCGGCAGGGCCACGTGCTCGCCAGGACGTGTGCTCCTGGTGGAGACAGGTGCACGCAGTGGGGACCCGGGGGGGCTGAGGCTGCCCCGTGGCCCTTCACACCACCATCAGCCACCCAAGGTGACCGAGGGACAGAGCCCCCTGGGCTCCTGCAGATGGGGTGGGAAGGCCCCCGTGACCCCCTCCCAGAGAATCACAGGACGGCCATCTGTCTGGGGGAGGAAAAGTCCCAAGAGGTTGATTTATCACCCACACCACTGGCCCAGGCAAGGGCAGCCCTTTCCCCTTGGGAAAGAACGGGGTGTCTTGTCCCACCGCCAGGGGACAGTGTAGGTGTGACAGTCCTGGCAAAGATGAGTCACCTAGTTTAGCTCCAGTGTGGCCAGGAAGGGGCGACCCCTCCCTTGCGACACCCGGGCCACAAATATTGCCTTTGCAAATGGAAACAAAAACAACCCAGCTAAGGAAGTCTCGTCCACCCTCAGCCTGTGGCTTCCAGGCCAAGCCAGGCGGACCTCGGCCTCACAACGCCCGGGGCCATGCCAGCCATGCATGAAGCCCAGGACCCCACAGCTCCCTCTCTGTCTCAGACGGAGGACACTATGTGGCCAACAGGTCATCCCATGCAGGGCCAGCCTGGGCATCAGGTAAAGCCAAAGCTCCAGTGGGCACAGGGGACACGACGACCAAGATACAAACCGCCAAACCCCAAAATCTGTGGGCTGCCACCGCGGCCATCCCCGTGAGCACAGCAGTGCTCTGTGTGTTGGATGCTCTCCGAGAACCTGGCTCTGGCTTCTCAGAGCCACGCACACCTGGAGGGTATCCGGCACCCCATGGGGTTTTCTGGTCCCTGTCAGCTGTGGTGACACACTTCACTACCCACTCCGTGTATCCTGCACTGACCCTGAGGCCCATGGCTCTCCAAGATTCATCAATGGGAACATTAGAGGAAGCCCCTTCTAGGGAGCAATGGAGAGAGTGGGATCTCACCACGCCCACCCTACTGACGTGTTCTAAATCCCCAAAAGCACTTAAAAAACTTGGTGCCCAAACCTGGGATTAACCCACAAAAGCATCTACTTAGCACCCAACTTTTTGATCCAAAGGCACCGCGGATCCAGCTGTCTTTTCAGAAACAGGCACAAAAGAAGCTCTGATCCTGGGAAGGAGGCCCGGGGAGCCTCGGGACGATACCGCCCTGCAGAGAAAATGAGCCACACCTTTGTGTGGCACCGATGAATGCCAGTCCCTGTGCCCAGACTCAAAGAGGAGCTCCCAGACACCACGTGGGACAGACACCCAACCCCGGGTAGACAGTCCAGAAGCAAGTCAAACCACCCGCTGCAATGTCAATCATACGCGGACGTGCTGAGAGCCGGGCTGACCCCGAGCCCTGTGGGGACCTCCCTAGGGAGGAGGCAGGGGTGGAGAAAAGGACAGCAGCACACAGGCACAATATGTGGCTTCTCAGCAAGTACTCCAGAGCTTGGGTCTGGGTGACAGGCTCACAGTTGTTTGTTCATTACTTTGACTGAAAAATACACATGAGGTCAATAAGGCTGGTGGTGGACCAATGAGACCAAGGTGCCGAGGTATCCAAGGGCACTTGGAAGAGAAGGGGAGGTTCAAGCACTGTCCTAGCCCCAGGATCACCAAACTCTGGCCCCAGAGCCACCTCCAGCCAACAACTCTCTGCAAATCAAGCCACTCTTTCTGTGCCCTCATGAGAGTCCAGCAGTGGCAGAAGCTGCTGGCCAATCCAGAACATTTACTCTCTGGCTCTTGGCCTAAAAAGTTTGCCAACCCCTGTCCCTGTCCCTAAGTCTGCAATTGGCAGGGAAAAAAAAGACAAGCCCGCTCCCCATTGTGGGGGTCTCCCTGGCTGGGTCAAAGGTAAAACCAACAAACAGGAGACTGACCAAATACCCAGATGCCCGCCCAGCCAGCCTGCAGGGCGCACTCAGCAGGGCCGGGCTGCCTTCCTTCTCTTTCTTAGTCTCTCTCGCCCGCTCCTGCCGTCCTCCCCCAGCCACTAAGGTCACAGGAATGAAGCGTGTGGTGGACTCTAAGCAAAGTTGGCTCTGTCGTTTGAAAGGCTGAGAGGTCTTAGTGTCAGCTCTGTTAACGTCTTGGCCAGGGGCTAAGCACCAAATGATGTATCTCTTGAAACTGGGCCCCCCTGACCTGGGATGCCCCTCAAATCCCAGCATTTACTCAGCTAAAACATCCAAAGGGCAGAATCTCCCTGGAGTTTCCATGTGTGCCCAGGGCCCGTGGACACAGCCTTCCCTCTGTCTGCCCCAGACAGGCTGGACTCACTTCCCGGACCCCACAGCTTCCTACGTTTGTGCAAAGGATGGTGTGAGGACACCACTGACCTCTACAGAGGCCACCTCGACGTAAGACCCTATGGACTCAGGGACAGGCAGGCGGAACCGTGATCAGTGCTGTATTTTGCAGGGTGGACCATCGCCTTTTAACATATTCTCTGAAACTCCAGCAAGCGCTTCCTGGCCTTTTCCAGAAACTGCTCGTGCAACTTGTTCTGCTCTGAAATCTGCAGCTGAATGTCGCGGATCATCTGGTTCTGCTTGTCCTCGTCTTCGATGATGCTGCTGTTCGAGGAGGAGGTGAGCTTAACCGGGGACGGGGACACTCCGCCCTTTATCTGGTAACTGCTGGGGTAGGACTTCAGGAGGGCCAGGCGCAACCTCCTCCGCTCCTTCCGCTCTTCCTCCAGCTCGGCCGAGTAGTGGATCTCCAAGCTCATGTCTGGGAGCTCCACGGACTCAAACGAGGGCTTCTGCCTCCTCCACTCCAGCTCCAGCCTCGGCGGCTTCTGTGCGAAGGCCATCCAGTCTGCTCCGCGCGCCTGCTCCTGCAGGTGAGGCTGGGGGCAGCTGTCCATCAGTGTGGCCAGCTCGGAGGCCTCCTGCTCACACTCGGTGCTTTTAAAGAGCAAGTCCTCTTCGTCGATAGCCGTGTCCGCCTCGGCCAACGATGTCTGACTTCCGTCCTTCACTGCAGGCTGGGCCATCGGATGGCATCTGGGGAGTTCGTCCGTGCTTCGTGATTGTTTCAAATCGGTCTGGGATGACTTCTGGGAGACCTCGGCCTCTGCAGGATCCCCGGACTCACCAGCAGGCAGCGACTCCACTTCGGCCGCCCCCTCTTGTGGGGTGTCACTATCGCACCCCTGCATGACTGAAAAGACCTGCTCCTGGGGGTCAGGGTCCGTCCTGGACCTTGAGTCCAGGTGCTGATTCAAGTGCCTCTTGAGCTTCCTGTTTGAATTAAACAGCTGCTCGAAGGCCAACTCCAGCTCTCTCTGCCACCTGTTCTTGGTGATGCACTTGTCTGGAGTCGTGGGGGCCACGGCTTCCCTCTTGTGGGTGGAGCTCGCTGGCCACAGCCGCTGGAACTCCTCCAGTCTGTCCCTGGGACCCTGGTTCTCGGAGATGTTCCTCAGGCCTCTGGCAAAGTGAACGGTGGTGCCCTTTCCCGCCTTCCTCCTCCCCTCCCGGGCTCTCTGCTTCTCCTGCAGGCCCCTGAGTTCTCCCCCCGTGGCCAGCTGTGGCTTCACACTTCTGCCCACCCGAGGGGTCACAGGCTGGCGGCCGCTGCTGGTCTTGCTTGAAGGCACCCGTTTCCGTTTACTCTTCTCGGTGGGACCCAGACCCCGGGGTTTGGTGTCCCCCTGCCTCTCGGAGCCCACTGCTTTCCTCTGGGGCTTGGGGCGTCGGGCTTGCTGCCTGGGCGGCTCTTCCTGGTGACTCTTGGGTTCTCGAAGGGCCACTTTGTGCTTTTCCTTCACCTTCGGGGACCTTTCTGCTCCTCGCGGGGCAGGCTTCTCCAGGTCGGCCTCGGCCTGGGCCTGGGCCTGGTTCTCCACCGCCCACCCTGCTGTGGCCCCCCCCAGCACGTGGGTGGAGCAGAGCTGCTCCGGGTCCTCGAGGAACTGGGCCTCCTGCCACTCCGCCTGCAGCTCCTGGGCCAGGTGCAGCAGCTGCTGGGCTCTCCACTGCAGGTTGGGCCTCCTGGGCAGAGGGCTATCGTCTTCGCGTTCTCCGACTTTCAGCATCGTGTGCTTCTGCCTCAGCAGCGTGACTGGGTCGTGGGGCGAGGAGCCGGGCAGCAGGGCTCTCTCTGAGGTTCTCTGCCTTCCCGTGAGCTCTTCTTCCAAGGGCAAGCGGCTGCAGCCAGAGTGAGGCTTCTATTGACCGGGGACCATAGAGGCCACTGCTGTTCACGGGGAACCTACGAGGGCAGGAGGACACACGCAGCTTCCCGAGCGCTCTCAGGAGAGTGGGCAAGACCCTGGAGACAAGGGCACACGGGAGTCTTAGTCGGGGATACACTGAAGCATGCGCTCCAGGTCTCTCCCCGACCTCTGCCCACCAAGGCCCACTCTGTCCCCAATCACTGAAAAGTCACAGCCTTTAGGACAGTGGTTTTCTATGGGGTGTGGTTTGGCATCCAGAGGACATTTGGCAACATCTGAGGATGTTTTTGGAGGTCACACCTGGAGAGGAGGTGCTCTAGGCTGGACAGAGGCCAGGGAGGCACAGAATGGGCCCCGTGCCAAAGGGGGAGCTGGCCAAAATGTCAATAGTGCCAAGACGGAGGCCGAGGCACATGTTAGGGTCCAGGTGGGGGTGGGAGGGTGCAATCGGAAGCACTCACCTGGGGAGGGCAGGGACGAAGCATGGCCTTGAGGGGAGGGACCTTGTGAATCAAAGAGGAGGCGGCGGGGGAGGGAGGAGCTCGCCAGGCAGCGCCTGTGTGCGTCTGTGCAGGTTGGTGTGTGCAGACAGATGTGTGCACCCGCCTGCGTGTCTGTGCGTGTGGGTGCGGGTGTGCACGATTGGTACTTGAATCCAATACAAACCCAACGGAGAGAGGAGCAGGGTTCCAAGTCTTTTCAAGGTCCCCGGCTCTCTCTCTCTCCGTGTGACTATCAGAGGACTCCCATAGGTCTCCCTGGCACCAGGAAGGGCCTGTGCTTGCTAGGCCTACCTGGGGGAGGAAGTGCATGTCCCCAGGTCTGTGGCCACTTGGCGTTGATGCCAGAAGCAGCCGGATTTGTGAGCTGCAGCGGCTGCTTCCCGGATACTGCAGGCCAACCCTCTCGTTTTGAGCCTGTGGAACCAGGCTCAACAACTTGAGCCCAAAGAGGTGGCGGCACACAGGAAGTAGCAGCTCATCCATGTTCCAGCCAATGTTAACCGCCTGGGCTCCCCGGGGGCACCTGGTACCCCAACGGTTCATTTATTTTGTATTGTAAACCTGGGAGGGAAGGAGCTGTTATCATCCCTGGTTCACTGATGGGGAAACTGAGGCAGGGAGGGAGGAGGACACTTGAGCAGGTCACACAGCTGGGCCAACTGCTGTCCGGGTAGACCACGGCACCACAGTTGGTCACACTGACGCTGGCTTTGACTGAACATTCGGGGGGGGCGGTGTCCTTGCACCTCTTGGTAAATCGGGCCACTGACTGCAATCATACGCAAGAGCAGTGGCTGATGTCAGGTTCCACAGGGCCAGGACAGCAGGAGGGAAAGCTGGGTCTCCACAAAGGTGACACGTGGCTCAATGGGGAAAAGAACAGTCTGTGTGTGTGTGTGTGTGTGTGTGTGTGTGGTGCTGGGGATGAACCCAGGGCCCTGTGCATGGGGGACAAGCCCTCTACCAACTGAGCTGTGTCCCCAGCCCTTTGTGTTTTTTTCTTTTTTCCCCAACAAATCACACTGTAACTATGCACACGCAAAACGAGGAATCTCAATCCTTCATCACACCATACACAACAAGACGAACTCACAAGGGGTCACAGACCTTCACGCAGGGCTTAAGTGCTCAGAAGGAAACACAGGTGGCTCCTTCCAGGCCTTGACTTAGTCAAAGAACATTCAGATACAATCCCAGAAGCTCAAGCAGCAGAGGAGGAAATGGACACACAGGAAAGTTAACACCGCTGGGCTCCGAAAGGCACTCCTGGCCCAGTGAGGATCCCGCATGGATGTACAGACATCTGCAGATCATGCACCCAAGAGCCGACTCCAGCCCAGAACACTGAACCTCGCTTACAACTTAATACGAAGATGAATAACCTAATTCACAAATGGGCGACAGATCCAAGTGGACGTTCACCAAAGGAGACAGATGTACGCTGATGCCGGCTGTAGGCTTCCCACAGCAGCAGTCCTCAGGCCAATGCCAATGAAGCCACAGCGGAAGCCCACTTCACATGCTGGGTGACTACAGTTCCAGGGACAGTCAACGACGACGGCAAGTGTTGGTGAAGAGCTGGGGAAACTGGGACCCTTCCAGGGGTTGGTGGAATGCAGACGGCAGCCACTTTGGAAAACAGCTGGCGCTGTCTTTAAAAGGTCAGCACAGACTCACCCCGTGACCCAGCAAGCCCATCCCTGGCCACGCCCAGGAGAAACGGAAGCGCTTCCAACCAAGAAGTCATCGAGGCTCCATGGGGTGGGAGACTTTTCCCGCTCACGAAGGAGCTGGGTTTGAATCTGGGTCTCATGGGTCCTTCCTCTGAGACTGGCCACAGGGGTGTCCAAAGAGGCGAGGAGGGAGCTGGGCTGCTGGGAACGTCCCTTTGTCTGTCTCAGGAGACCCCTGAGAGAGTGGGGCTCATTGCACCCCAAGGAGCCAAGTCTATTTCTGAGCCTGGAGCCACCGACTCCCGACCTTTATCAGCAGGTGACAACCATTAAGACGTGGCCTCAGTGACTTCTACAGGAGTGTCCCCGCCCCAAGCTCAGTTCATGACCTACATTTAGGGAGCTTTGAGGTGAAGTCGGGAAATCAGTCAGTTCCACAGCTCAGAAATTGGGGACCCAGGACACCCTAAGGTGTACCCTTACTGCCATGTTCTCAGAGCCTCCTGTGGCCCCTGCTGTCCCCCCGTGCCCTCCACCATGTACCACCGTGGGACCAGGACAGGGTCCACTTGGGTCTGGCCAGGAAGATCACTAAGCCTTCCTGAGCCTGAGGTGGCCAGGGGTAGGAACCCCTGGACACCCCCTCCTGGAGTGTCTACCCTCCAGTCTCCTAGGGGCTCCCCAGCCCTGCAGGACAGGCTGCCAGTGCCCTAGGAAGGACACTCACCAGGCGAGAGGTCATGCTTCTGGCTGAGGCCCACTGCACAGACCACCTGTGCTCTGCTGGCTGACCGTCCTGCACAGGGTAGTCCCCTGGCCACACTCCCGCCCCCCCCATCCCTGTGGAATATTCTGAGCATCCCCTCGTGGCCCCTGCCAAGGAGCAGACGGGCTGCCGGTCACTGCTGCCTTCAACCTGTCTGGGAAACCACAGCCCTTTCCCCACAGGCACTGCCCTCGGGGCACCAGGAAGGCAGGGTGGACACCTGTCTGGCCTTCCTGGGGCACCAGAGCCTCCGGGACCCTGGGCCCATTCTCTCTCCTGCTCTCTGCAGCCCTGTGACCCCAGCAGGTGGAGCTGGCCCCAGCAGCCACACCCAGCCGCAGCCTGGACAGTTTTTCAGCAGGTGCAGAACCTAACCCTGCCTTGAGGACGCCCCCTGCACAGGTAGCAGGGAGCACAGGCCCCCTCCCAGAGGAGACCCCAGGGCCTCTGAGCTGCCCGGGCAGCGGGCGTCTGCAGCAGGCCCCAGTGGAGTCCAGGAAAGCATCATGATCAGAGCCTGCGGAAGGCGCCAGGAACAGGCGCGTGCTCAGAGAGGCCCGGGGCTGGCTGCAGGACGCAGGCTCCTGTGGGCGCCCTGAACAGGCCCGGCCCCCGCTTCTACAGGAGAGGCACCTGCTGCCCACACAGGGGCAGCAAGGCGGGCATGGTGCAGACCACGCCCACGACCTCAGGGCCAGTTCCCTCAGGATGGTCACACAGCTAAGTGGTGGCCATCATGACCAAGACTCAGGCCCTGCAATTATGACAATGCTGCCAGGTCCCCCAAGTGTGACAGCCACGGGGCTAAATCTGCCCTTGACCCTCGGAGACACTGACCCTGGCACACAATCGACGCAGCCATGCCATGTCCTACCCGAATGCGAGCTGACAGCAGGGAGGGGGGCCATCGTGGGGACAGCAGCAGGACTCGGCTGCCTCTCTCCATCCTCGGGTGGCCCTCATCCCTGTCCTCCCCACTCTGGCTTCCAGGGGCCTCACGCACACCATCTTCTTGGCTGGAACCCATGCCAACGTTGCCCCCGGGTGATCCCCTGAGGCCGTGTGCCATTTTGTAGATATTTAACTAAACCAGTTAACATACAGGGAGAGACAGGGCCACATGTAGCTGGCCAGGAGGACGCGGCCTCAGTGACCACACAACTCTGGCCGATGACAGACCTGTGTGTGTTCAGGTCCACAAGCTTCACACACACACCCTTCCACACCAACTCGCTATCCCACCAGGGGTGGATGGTGAGGCTGGGCCTATCCATGCTTTCTGATGGGGAAGCAGAGACTCAGAGAGGTTGAATACATTGCCTGAGGTCACACAGCTCAAGGGCAGTGTTGCAAGGACTCACCTCTGAGCAAGCAGACCCCTAGTCCCAGACTCCTCATCTGCAGCCGGGGAAGCCAGAGCTGGAAGCCACTTTTGTAGCACAAGTGGACTTTGGCCTGGGCTTCACTGTCCTTGCCTGACCTCTGACCTCCCTGGTCCTCCAGTGACCATGAGAGGCATCTTTGGGGAAGTGAATGGACTGTGAGGCTGCAGTCTAGTCGGTCCACCCTAGTTTGAATGGACTGGCTGGTGGTAACTGGGCAGCTGGGGTGTGGCTGGGGGAGGCGGGTCCCCTGCAAGGGAGCATCTGCCCTGGGCCCTTCCCCTCTCCCTGCTTCCTGACTCCACCATGAGCTGAGCAGCTTTCCGCTGCCCCTCCCCTCGCCTCAGGCCCGGAGCAGTGGAGTGGCCGTCCATGGACTGAGGCCTCGGACACCCGAGCCACAGATAAACCCTCCTTCCTCCAGGTTGTTGTTCTCGGTTGTGTTGGTCACAGTGAGGCTAAGCTGCCTAACAGTGTGTTTGCCGGGGGCACTACAGGGCCTGAGAGTCCATCAGATGGACCACCCACTTCCGGTTCAAATATTCCATTCCTCGGAGTGTTTTACAAGGCCAGGTCTCGACTCTCGGTAAGTCCCTTCGGATTCAGCAGGTCTGGGGTGGGGCCGAGATTCTGCATGTCCCAAGTGCACCCCCAGCCCACAGACCACAGCACACGTGTCCCCCAGAGAGGCCATGCCTTGCTCTGCCCGCCTCCCCCAGCAGTTGCTGAGCCTGAGCATCTCTCACCTGAGCCCCCCAGGCCCCCAGCTGTCTCCCTCTGGCCCTGCCCTTTGCCGGCAGCCCTTTCCACAACACGGCTGCAGCCTCCGCCTACCCAGCCGACCTGTGCCGATCGCCCACGGTCCTCACCAGCAAGTCCCCAGATGTGGCCCATGGCTGCCTGCAGCACAAACACCTGGGCTGCGAGTGAGAGGGCAGGTTCCTGGCCCTGCCCCTGACGGAGCCTACCCACTCCAAGCCACAGGGCAGGGACGTGCTCTGTCCACCAGGTCCCCTGTCATCCTCAGGCCAGGAACACTGAGCCATCCCTGTGGCTCCCTCCCATCCTGTCCGGGAACGCTGCATCCCGGGCAGGGCTGGCCAGGCTCTGCCGCCCCCCGGCACACCACCAGCCCAGCATCTAAACTGTGCCCACATGGGCTCCTCTTCATGAGATGGACATGGCCTTCCCCCGTCCCCCTCACACTGCCCCAGCCCAGCCCAGTCCCCCTCCCTGAGGACGCAGTGCCCTCCAAAGCCACAAGCAGACTTAGCACAGGGCTGCCCAGTGAGCACCTCTTTGAAACACATCAGTCAGCTACAGAAAGGCTCGGCTAGCTGGCGTCCACCACGAGGCCGTTCCCACACAGGCAGAGCTTAGGATCTCATGCGTGGAGCTGGACATTCCCCGTCTTCCGGGAGCACACAGACTACGTGTAACTTGACCTTTGGTTATAAAAGGACTCTGAATTTCTTTGGGATGATAACATGGGGATCTTTCGGGGATTTTAAGATGCATAGAGCAGAGACCCTGAAACTAGGTGACCCCAGAATGTGATCTGGGTGCAGGTAAGGCCCATTTTTAAATGGGTTTCTTACAGCTTCCCGTGTCCTCCCAGGTGGTAGCTCTACGGCTGCCTCTCTCGACAGCAGCCCGCCCCTCGAGACTGGCCCGCACTGGCACCCACACCAGGAAGCTGGGCACGCTGCGTGGAACACTGGAGGAAACGGGGCGGAGGCACTGACGGGCTCTGCCATGCACCAGGCACCTGAGTTCCATCGAAGCTCATCCATTCTAAGATGCGGACCCCACAGGACACTGAGGCCCACAGGAAGACACTAAGTCAGCCACAAAACTCCAGGTGGGAAGATGTCTAACAGCTTACATCCTGGCTAGATCTACCAAGAGGAGATGTATGGAACACACCCCAAACCACCCGTGGGTCCCCAAATACACGTACGTAGGCAGCCTGGGCCTTACCTGCACTCAAAGGAACACCCAGAACAAGCAGGTGGTGGTCCAGCCAGGCCTGCACTGGCCACACCTCACGAGGACACCAAGGTGCCGAGGGCAGCCAGGCCATCCAAAGAGCACATGCCTGTCCCTAGGGTGTGACCATCAGAGGAGATGGAGGGTCAGAAATGGAGGTCAGAGGATCACAGATGGAGGTCATAGATGGAAGTCAGAGATGGAGGGTCAGAGACAGTGGGTCAGAGATGGAGGTCGGAGATGGAGGGTCAGAAACGGAGGTCAGAGGGTCAGAGATGGAGCATCAGAGACAGAGTGTCAGAGAGGGAGGGTCAGAGATGGAGCACCATAGATGGAAGGTCAGAGATGGAGGGTCAGAGATGGAGGTCAGAGACAGAGAGTCAGAGATGGAGGTCAGAGATGGGGCATCAGAGGAGATGGAGCATCAGGGGAGATGGAGCATCAGCCATGCAGCCTCAGAGATGGGGTGTCAGAGGAGACAGTCCTAGGAACTTGGAGGATGGTGCCTGGCTCACGGGGAGGCTCGGCCAAGGCACAGAGCACCTCAGAGATGTGAAGACAGTGGTGAGCCCACAGGGAACTGACAGGCAGATGCAGGTCTAACTGACTTTCACAAGGTGAGAAGAAGAGTCTGTCCTGGAAGTGGTCATGTGACAAGTCGTGGGGTCAGCATTTCAAAACCGCAGCACAACATTGAAACGATCAGGAATGAGCCCAGTGAGAAAGGCAAGAACGAGCTGCCTGGAGAACAAGGGGAGCCCGAGGCCCAGAAAGAAGGGGCAGAGGTCAGGAGGGCAGGGCAGGCCATGGACTCAGAGCCCAGGAAGGGAGTGACAGGACAGGCCGTGCACGGGAGGAGGAGTCCTAGGAACCTGGAACGTTCAGAGGAGGCCAGGCAGAGGCGTTTGCTGGGGACAGAGAAGTCCAGAATGCACTGAGGTGGACAGGGACACGGCCGTGTGACCCAGGGCAAGCTGCCCAACTTGGGGTGCCTCAGTCTGCTCATCTGTGAAACAGGGTGGTGACAGCTATGTGCACATCACACGGGGACTCCCAGGAGCCTGGCCAGCCGTTTGGGGGCGGTACTTACTGTGTGTGTCTCCAGATGATGGAGCTGGACGTCTGAGAACACATTACAGGGAGGCAGCACATGGGCAGCTGGAAGGAAGCACTTCCTACTGGGCTGTCTTGAAATCATGGGTAGGTAGTGAGAGACCCATCACTGCAGGCATCCAAGCCAAGCCCACATAGAATAAATATCACAAACTGGGCTTCACTCCACTCCTCTGAGTTCTAGCCTCTAAAACCATGCTGGGGGCCCCCGCGTGCTGACCACACCCTGGTGTTTGCTAGTTCCCAACTCGGTTGAGCCTAGAGTGTGTGGTTCCCCCAAAGCCGCTGCACTGGGTTTTGGACTGGGGGTGTCAGGGGAGAATCTGAGTCCCAGCCAGGCCCTAATCCTGGGGGCCTGTGACTCTGTGGGTTTCACCATCTCCCCAGTGTCCCCCAGGACTGGGCAGCTCTGGAGGTGAGCTGGGCAAGCGGCCTCCTCCACCAGCCTCACACTGGCAGACCCCAAGGTGGACTGACCTCTACACACATGGTCCAGACACGAGCTCGCAGAGGGACCTCTTATGGCAGATCCAACTGGCGCCTCACTAAACATAAGGA